TGCCGGAGGGCACATCATATCTCATCTATCCATTCATTCTCATTCCAAGCAGACACAAGTAAAAGTAAATGGTTGATCTAGGCCAGGGGTGTCAAACTGCCAGTCTGCGGGGCCGGATGCGTCACGCCCAAAACTGCGCCCACCCCATTGCCGGCAATGGGGGAAAAGTCACAATACGTCACGACAGGTCATGTGATGTTGCGAGTTTGACACCCCTGATCTAGGCTCATCTAGGACCCATCTAATAATTAAAGTGAAACAACAATTTGTTGGAAATTAATAATCACTTACTACTGAATAAACTATAAAAAAACCTCCATTCACTTCCTTCTGAGTAGCAATTATAGAACAAAAACACCTGTAAACCAAATTACTCTAACCAAAGTTATGAACAAATACACCAAATTATAAATATTCCATTTATTCATCAAGGTCTATTTCAATAATATATGAAGCCAGGGAATGGTAATCAATCTATTTATTTAGTAGCATAATTTCTCTGATACACTTAGGGAGTATCCTATGGCTTTGGGATTATGTGGCAACAGTGGGGAGGGTTATGGGGGGGGCTTTGAGTCTGTGTTGATTCCTGGTGTCTGCCTGGATGAATCTCTGTAATTTTCTTGGGAGTGGTTTGTCTTTGCCTACTTCCTAGGACTGAGAGAGAGGAACTGGCCCAAAATCATTCAGCTGACTTTGTGCTGAAGGTGGGACTAGAACTTGTAGTTTCTAGCCTTAATCACTGCTCCAAACTAGCTCTTTAATGCAATGAGGGTGAGGCAACAATTAAATGCTTTGTGAGGTCTGCTGACTAGGTATTATTTGGTTGGATGGAGCATTTCTCCATTCTTGGAAAGGTGTCAGTGGTCAAGGTCTTTCAGCTTCAAATTCAGATGGGCAGTAGGCTTTTTGGAGGATGATGACCTATTATCAACTGTAGCAATAGAAGACTATTTTCTGCACTGTTGAGTTGATGCTCTTCATCTGTCTTAGATGAAATAATACCTGGATGAAATTTATTTCCATCAGGCCAGTCATGTCTCTTCTGTTACTTTTCCCAGTCTTTACTAATCATCTAACTTCTCTCCAATACAAGAAGTGGCAAAGACAAACAGATTTCCCACATTTTAATGCTGCCCTTGGATAGTATTAGAATATGGGGGAAATACTTTTTAAATACCTAATGTAGCAAAAGGCAACTTAATGCAGTTTCACTCAAGATCTGGGGATGAGATGAAGGCAATGTTATAGGAACAAGGCAGAAAAATGCCTTGTTATTTTATGCTGTAGTCAGATACAAATAAAGAAAATCTTTAACTGGAGTAAAGGATGTTCTGAAGGACTAATGATAGTAACTCAGCCTTATGCAAGCAGACACCCAAATGCTGATTACTAGTACGGCATGCAGAGAACAAGCTGCATGCTATCAGACATGCTGCTGTCCATGGTGCTGACGTAACATTAACTCAGCATTGGTTTCTCAGGTCTCTCTAGCAGATGGTGGGATTTAATAATTCACTAGGGAAATGAGGGTTGCTCTGATGTTGCTTTTGATTGGGTCTGGCTAGTCTACAGCCCTACCTATTGCCCACCACCACCACAGATTGGGTCTATAACCCCTTTGCATCCTCAGAATTCTTCTATTTGAAGCTCTAATTAATCAGACACTGGAATAGAGAAGGCTGATGTACACATTTAGTGAAACAGCAAATGATTATAGATTTGAAAGGACTATGTGCTCAAATATTGAAAATGGATGCAGATTCCCAATTCAGATTCCAGTTACCATTATTCCCCATGACTTTTAAGGTGCAGGAGTGTAACGTGATTAGGAATTTCAGAAAAACCTGACATTTTCATGAAATGTGTGCCTTAGATCTCTTGTTTCTTGCACTAAATCAAAGTCTTTTAGTGCCTGACCTGAAAGTTTTACAATCTATATATAAAGATGAAATTTGATTTTGCATATGTATATTTTTAATTAACAGATATTTCCCCTACACACACACACCAAATAGGCAATTAATTTATTGCTGCAACCATAGAGCCGGCATAACTGAAACCAAGATGAATTTATAGCAGAGTCCAATTAAAATACCGTGAAAACATTGGGGAAAAAAATAACAAAACCTGCGTCCATCGCTTCTCCAGTTTGGCAAATGGCAGGGCAAGAAAAGACGTTTTAGAAACCTCACCGGACAACTAATTTTGAAAGGGGAGGAACCAGTGTACCGCTTTAACACCTTGCTTACAATGCAGAAAACCTCCAAAGTTATGGATGTATCCAATTAAAAATATCTCGGACATCTTTGTAAATTCCTCCCTCCCATTCAGTAAAACAAAAAGCTACCAATTCTGTTCGCTAGGAAGAAACACACCTCGCCCGGGAAATCTGCCCTTTCCTTCTTTTTAAGCTGGATTGGCGGGGGGGGGGGGAGGACATCAAAATGTAGCTCTTTCAACTCAATTTGACTCAAGCAAATATATGTATCACACCCTTCATTGAAGACACGCGGCTCTCTCTTCAGACGGCCTGCCACCCTCCCCACACTTGCTTGGGAGTAAATCCTGCCGAGCAAAGTTCTGAGTAAACATACGGTGGTGCTAAAAAATGCGCAAAAGCTTGGAGAGCTAGGGGGGGCAAATTCCGCTTTAATACGTCTCGCCACCCCGCCCCCGGTACTTCGGACCTTTTCATCCCCCGGCGAGCAGCCCTCATCCTGGGCGCCACCAGTCCATTTGTAGTTGGCGTTCTTCTCGGTGCGGGAAAGCCCAAGCTACCAAAGCCGACCAGGCACCCGCAAGGAAGTTCCTGTGCAGGGCAAACGCGGACCTCTCTGCCCCGCACTTACTCTTGCCAAGCATGTCGAGGAGGGCAGGCCCTGCGCACGTGGGAATCAGTACCGTGGTTTGCGCCACTAGTCTCCTTCGCTCGGACTCACACCCGCCCATTTCCTCCCGCCCCCATTTCCCCGCAAGTACGGTATGCTTTCCTAGTTCTGGCGCAACTTTTGGGGAATGTTGTTACCGCTCACGATATTTTTCTTTTTTAAGAAGGGGAAAAAAAAAAGGCAATAACACATCAATGCAGAGGAAAAAAAAGTTCGCAGCGGGCAGGAAGCGTCCGGGCACCCGGCGTCATTTGCAGCTAGAGCCTTGCAGGGGGGCGAGCCAGTAGGCATGCCCAGACTGCGCGCCTCTTCGGCGGCGGAGACCCGATTCCAACCTGGGTTGCAGCTCCGGCTGTCGACTGGCCGCCGAACGCGCCGCCTCCCGTCACGGAACGCTCGCTGGCTGGCTGGCTGGCCTGCGCGCGCTGCCTCGCCGCCTTTTGCCCCGCCGGACTGCGCGTGGCGCTGCCGGAGCGTGGCGGGCTGGCTCGGGCGTCCCGGAGCCCAGTGCGACTGGCTGCCCTTAAAGGGGGGGGTGGGGGTCGCGCGTGGCGGGGAGGCCGGCAGATCGGTACTAAGGAAGACCTGGCCTGAAAGCGCGCTTTTTCCCCCAGGGCTGAGCAGGAGCCCAGCAGCCTTGACCTCGCGCTCTTTCCGGGACTGCGGGCAGATCGACCGCGGGGGAGCCCATCTCCCTGCCGGAGGAGGTGGAAGAGAAAGAGGCGTCGGGGAGGAAAACGTGAGTATGGAACCGTTTCCTTGCGGGAAACTCAAGTACGATCTAAGCCGGGTGAGCCTGCACGAGGCTCCGCCAACGTTTGGCCCCTTTTCCCGCCGTTGCAGTCTGGCCGGAAGAAGGTTTACCTGGGAGCGGGTCCCCCTCCTCCCCCCCGTAAAGAACGGGGCTTGTTTAAAATAGACCTGTTTAGGTCTTGCTTCTTTCTTTCTGGCCCTAGATGGAAGGCATAACTATTTCGTTAGTTAGCCCGGCATAGCGCAAAGTATCTATTTGCAATTATTATTATTATTATTATTTTGCACGCGAATATTCGGAAAGGAAGAGGTAAGGAAAGCTTGGCATATTTTCCTGGAGGCAGAAATAACCCTAGGGGAAAATTTGTCTGAGGCAGGAGCCCCCGTGTAGTGTACTTTAAGCTGGCGGAGGAGACCTGCAATCTCTCTGCGCGTGTGTTCCACCGCGATGTAGATAATCTTCGTTCCCATCTCTTCCAAAGCCACCCTATCTAATTTGGAAAAGATTGGGAAGAAACGGGGGGGGGGATGAAAAGAGAGAGAGAGAGAGAGAGAAAAAAAAAATAGGAGACGCTTGGCACGCTCTTTATTTATTTATTTTAATTTATTTGCTTCCACGATGAGTTCTCCCCGTTAAGCTTGGAAAGCAACGGTAGGAGGGAGGGAAGAGCGAGCGACCCGCGCGGTAGGCGAGGGAAGAACGACCCCTGCAGTTGCATTGCGGAAAATCTCCTTTCCGTTGCTGGGAATTAGCGGGAGCCTGAGCTGGGTTTTAGGGTTGTTGTTTTGTTTTTGTTTTTTTTGGCAGGAGACCCGGGTTTGGGTATTTCGTCCTCTCCTCTGTAGGTGTAGGTGAAACGCGGTGGCAAGAAACCTGACGGCCGATGCAATGTGTCTTAATCTCTTTGTGATCGTTTTGTAGCGAGCTTGAAGGAAAAAGAACGTCGGGACGGCGGCGCGGCTGGCGGGGGCGATGTCTCGCTGAGGTGTGCAGAGAGTTTGGGGACAACTTGGCGTTCGGGTCCCCGAGAATCGAGACTTTCCGGAGCTGGGAACTGCCGGTCCCTTGTTTTTTGTCTATGTCTTGTTGGGAGGCCTGGTGGATATTGCTTGCTTTCCTGAAGGAAGAAGAAGCTGGTGCTGGCGGTTGCCTCCTGAGTCTTTGGCGGACGGCAAAGGAAGAAAAAGGATCTGGCTTGAGCTGCACAGCGACGAGAGAGCTCGGACATGTGTCAGCACATCTGGGGAATAGAGGCTGCGAGTCCAAAAGGAGATTTTCTGGGATTGCTCAAGCTGCAATATTGATCTTTGCTGTGTTTTTTCACCGAGGGATGCACTTGGCATGAGAATCGGAGGATGGAAATTGTTTGGGAGGTGCTTTTTCTTCTGCAAGCCAATTTCATTGTCTGCATTTCAGGTACGCAGCAAAAAACAGAGCAAACTGGAGGAGAAATGCTTGCCTTGCTGTCTCTGGTTTGCCTCTCTTCCTTTTCCTATTTAGCTGTGAGGGCAAAAAGTGGATGTGTTCAAAAGGGACGGTGGCGGTTTAAATTTCCAAAGTGTGTGTGAATGGCTTCAGCAGCCCTCCCCTCCAGGTTGCCTTTTCCCATTCCCTGTTGTTTGGAAAACTGTGTAATGCAGCTGTCGTCAAATGTTTCTCCCTCCTTCAAACTACGGGTGTCCTATTTTATTTGGAGGATGACCTGGGGACAATAAATGAGTGCTGTGTTTCCTTAAAGTTGCCCAACTTCTAGTTCATTTTGTTTTGTAAAAGGTTTCGGAGCTTGCCAAAGCAGTGGTTCAGAAACTGGGTAGGTGTTGTACCTATCTCCCACCCATGGATGTTTTACTCCAGAGAGCCCCACTCCTCCTGCCTTAGCTGGAAATTCTGAACTGGTGTTCCTTGCTTTCTGACATTTCCCCCTCCTCGTTTGGCTGAAGGCAGGTGACTCCACTTGTAAAAGGGGATCCTGTCCAATTAACAGAGGAGGTCTAGCTTGGTGTCAGGCGTTAAGGATTACAGCAATTTATTTGGGGGGGGAAAGCGCACCCTTCTAGTTCAAAAGCCTTGGCTGCTTCGTTAATTTGTCATGTCCGCTCTTGCTGGAATAATTATGTTGCAGTCAGAGAGCAAGAGGGAAGGCATGCAGCTGATACCTTTGGAGTTTGAGGCACTTCCCTTTCCCCCTCCTCCCCCCCCCAAAAGAAAATCCTGGTTGCTACTTCCCTTTCCTTATCGGCAGGCATTTTAAAAAACGGATGACCAGCTGGAGAGAGATGCAAATAAGCCTGGCCATAGGGATTAAAAGGGAAAGATTGGGGGAATAGGGAGGATGTCTGTGCCAACCCACCCAAAACCTAGGTCCCCTTCCTGCCCTTTACAAGCATCCAGCCTGAGGTTCTTGACTTAAACTGAAAGTCCTTTTCTCATTGCGCTGGCAGCATTAACATTTAATTGTAGACCTGCCATCCATTTTAGAGCAAGCCATCCTCTTTGCTCTGACAGCCTTTCAGCTTCCATCACTTTGGCTGTTTCCTTATCTGAACAGAAGTGCTTGTCTTGTTCTGCCCCCCCCCAGGCTCCACTGCTCCTTTGAGTGATGTCATCGGAGGAGGCGATCTCTTAACACATCTCCCTCGCCTCATGAACCACTCCTGCAGTGTTGTCTGTTTATTGCATCAGAGCATCAATGTCCCTCTTTAACTCTTCCAGTGGAAGGACAGAAGTACATCTTCCAAACAATTGATGCTTCTGTTTCTTCCTCTTCCTCCTCACACCTCTGGAAAATGCTTTCCGGCTCCCACATTCCTCACCGGCAATTTCATTTCTCGGGCACAAGTTCTGCAATAGGTGAGAGGGACAGAAGACAGGTCTCTGCTACCCATGGGGAACCTCAAATAGCAGCCTTCGCCTGTTTCCTGTTCCTCTTAACTACCTTCATTTAACCCATTTCTCCACCGTTGACTTGCAGCATCTCCCAGTGTATAAAGCTTGTCCTCGTTAGTGTTGTAGTGACACAAGAATGGTTGGATGACTCTTAAACAGTGTCAGAAGTTGCAAGAGGGACTGCATGAACAAGATGCAGCAGGTTATCTTCTCTGCTTCTTTCTCATAGCCTTATCTTTCATAGTCTGTTTCTTCTGTGGCAACCCAGAAAGCCTTCTCCACTGTATTCCACTGCTGTTACCGTAAGTGGTAGGGATACTGATTCTGCAGCTAGCATTCCCTGGAATTCCATTATCTGCTAGGGCAGTGATGGCGAACCTTTTAGAGACCGAGTGCCCAAACTGCAACCCAAAACCCACTTATGCATCGTCGGGTGCCGGGTGCGTGTGGCTCATTGGGTGGGCGTGGCTGCAGTGGTAACAGCAGACTGGGTGGGACTAAAAATTTCAATCAATCAATGCCAACTTTGCAAGATTTTTTTTTCCCCAATTGACTGATTGATTGAACCTTTTTTTTTGTGTACACGGTGGGGGAGGCCTAAAGCGAAAAGGTTTTATAAAACCCAGCTGAAGGCCTAGGACTGGGGCGACGGCGCGCGTGCCCACAGAGAGGGCTCTGAGTGCCGCCTCTGGCACCCGTGCCATAGGTTCGCCACCAATGTGCTAGGGCAAGCACTGGGCTGCAGGAAGTAGCAAAGCTGCTTCTCCAGCCACCTTAGGGTGTGCTAGGCTTGCTTGCGTTTGCCGCTTGCCAGTTGAAGGGCCACCTCCCACTCACTGGACTGAGCAAGCCTGAAATCTTAGATTTTGCAGAGTCCATACTTGAAGGAGCTCCACCCCAATCCTAACATTGTCCACTGCAGATGGGTATTCTGGGATGCCTGGTGAGCTCTGCTTGTGGTTTGAAGTTACATGCACCCAAGAGCTCCACTTGGAGGGCTTACATCAGAGCTGATGGCCATGCCGATGAGTTTTTCAAGCCAAGGCTCAGCTGGCTAACCTTCTTCTTTAAAGAATACTGTCTAGCCTGGTGGGAATAAGGAGATCCCAGATGTGAAGAGCTGCAGAAGAAGAGAAGCAGAAAATGGATGGGTTCTTGTGACTTTCAGGAGCCAACAGCAGAGGAATATTTTAGGATATCTCTCTAGGAATGCGTTATCTTTTCCAGGATGTGAAAACATTAGTTGATACTGTTCTGGGGGGAGGGGGGGAGAATATAGTGAATCTCAGTCTGTTCCTATTCATTGGCCAAAGAGCATTAAGTATTTCCGAGTGCTCGATTCCAGCCAATTTAGCTGCAAATTGTCACCTCCCCCCTTTCCTTCCCCTCAGTCTTTTTTTCCTCTTAGCAAACCATACAGGATAATTGTATACATGTCTTGAATCAGTAAATTTTATTTCTAAGGAAATTAATAAAACACTTTTTTCCCTAATAAAAGATGCTGAATTGACCACAGCTTGTGAAATCTACCTACTCTTTTACCTTTTTTAAAAAAAGTATTGCTATAAAACTTGTATTTTCTATGCAGTTTGGGGCACAGTTAGGGAATGAGCAAAGTATTCAAACATCTAAATAGGTTTCTTAGGCTCTTCAATACTCATGAGTTAATCAAATCATTTATTTCAGAATTCATACACACGGGGGGGGGGATTTAGCAGGGGGATTTGAGAAGCGTATTTGAATAATGGTCTCAGCTAAGAATGAGGAAACAGTCCATTCACGTGTTTAAACAGGGAAATAAATTGAAGTCAAAGTGATATTTTTGTTGTTCCTTCTCTTTGAATGATAGAAACAAAACAAATAATACTACTAACTGCCTTTTGTTGTTATTTGTTTCTCTTTCTGCATGGATCTTATTCAATAATAGTGCAAGAATTTATGTTCTTTATCTCAGTATGTGCATAGATAGATTAACACATGAAAAGGAGCAGATGAAGCCCTGTTATAGTTAACAGATGAAATGAGTACAGCAGTCTAGATTTCCTACTGTTTCTTTTCATTTCTTGTGTAGTATTAGTATCTATAGCAGGAATACATTTTAAGAGAGTCTAAGAATAGATCTGAATAATCTGGTTGCAATAATAGCTTTCATTTCAAGAAGGCTTTTATCTTGGACAATACAATTTTCATTCCAAAAAGTGTATAAAACACACCATTGCCAGTTGTTGTTATTAAACTCTTTGTGCCTGTTTCAGTTGACAAACTGTTATGGAAATTTGGGGTACAAAATAACTGTAGCCAAATCACCTGAACCCAGAAGATTTGTGAAATGTTTCCTATATGGAGGACCAAAGTAATTGCAATATTATTATTTGGTATTCCCTGGTTATTTACCATGGCTTATTCGCTTCCTTTAAATGCTTAGTTATGCTGCAGATAAATTGTTTTGAACAAGAAATAAGCTCTCTCTCCCTCTCCTTCCCTCTCTCCCCCCTCCCCCCCTCTCTCTGTGATGCTTGTGTATTGTCCTGGAAGCTTGTAAAAATGTGTGTGTGTGATGCTTGTATTGTCCTCAAAGCTTATCGAGATTAATTTAGCTTACAAGCCAATTTACGATTTTCAGCTATTTGAATGCTAGATAGTTTTTTTTAAATTTCAAGTCATAAAAAGTAGTAATTTTGCATCGCTTTGGGACTAAATGATCATCAGAATGGAATAATGAAAATCGGGAAGATGATGCTGAGATGATGACTTGTGTGTTTTGAACCCTGTAGAAAAACCTGACTTTCTGGGAAATCAATTGCAACCTCAGAGGAGATTAGGATACTATAGGATAACATTGTGAAATAAATGTATTGCCTAGGAAACTGTAAAAAAAATGAAATGATCAGACTCCATCTGGTTACTGATCCCTGAGTACTTCAGATAATTGTGATAGTGAGAAAAGGTGTGTGGGATATGTTACATTGTTACTTGCCCAGGTCCTTCTTCCGTGTAATGTCATAACACATTAATTAGTAGCAACATTCCCAACTATAGGTGGGATGCTTCTGTTCACATAATGGCTGACACATTTGTACAGGCATTTGTTTTGCACCAGTCTTGAGTAATTTTTCATGGTGTTAAAAAAACAGGTGATCAGGTGCAATGGAAAACATTAACACCTCTTCTTAAATGCTGCCAATAGCTAGCATGAATATGCCAGGACTTGAGTAATTCTTTAAGCATTTGTGTTGTTTCATTTTGGGGGAAAAAAACCACGTAATGATACAACAATTCCTGATTCATGTATGGCATATTATTTGCTTTTGTAATGGGGTAGGAAATGTGTTGTAAGCTAGTCAAGTGTAATGAAATTCTATGAAAATTGATGGATTTAAAAGAGGATTAGCAAGCCCTTGAAAAATTAACTTCTTCTGGGTAATCTCTATCACTTCTTAATATTTGTGAAGCACATCTAGATTACTTTGCTTCGGAGACGTGATGTTAACATGTACACATTTGTTCTAGCATTACATCTTACAGAGCAA